TCTGTCTTTTTGTTTGTTGTGGTATGTGTTTTACGGCGCAACTGCATCTCTTTGTGTCTGTTTCCCTGTTTTGCTATGTCTCTTTTCCTCTGCATGTATGTCTGCCTCTGTCTGTCTGTCTGTCTGTCTCTCTCTCTCTCCCTTTCTCTCTCTCTCTCTCTCTCTCTCTCTCTCTCTCTCTCTCTCTCTCTCTTTCTTTCTTTCTTTCTTTCTCTCTCTCTCTCTCCACCCCTTTTCTCTCTCCCTCTCTATCAGTTATGACAACGTGGTGAACAGCGTCCGGTCATGTAAAAATATACTCCCACCCACCCCCTAACCCACCCTCCCACCTCATAGTGGGACAGTCTTATATGTTATCTATCGAAGAGTCTACTAGGTTTTTAATTCATAGACAACAATGTGAGAAAAACAATTTTGGTTTTCCAATACTTCCATTGTTCCAATTAGTCCACTCTTAAATTAAACGGTGCCAGCCAAGTCGAAGGTCTGCCACGATGTTTCTGGCAGATAGGCCTTTGACTGGCATTGGCCATATCACAAATGTGTAGGTGGTTGTGTGGGTGGAGCGGGGGCTATCCTTGTGTCTTTGAAATAGTCCCATCTGGTCACTTACTGTCACAACTTACTTGCCAGTCAATATCTTTACCACCACAGAATTTCAGTTTGTGACCTTAACAACACCGTAAAGTAAAGCAAACACCCAACCACACACTGCAGTTATGTAACGCCGCCGATTTTAGTTTAAATTCCCCAAGCACTGTTGTAACCATGATTTACACTACGCTAGAAACCGCCCAGATCTGGGCGGGACTTATGGTAGATCACCGTAGCACGGTAGACCGTCAACCAATATAGCACCAGTTCAACGTTAGATATATAATCCGTCACGTGTCTCCCCACAGGTCACAGAGCAGGATCAGCCCAGCCTGCAATCGCCCACAAGGTGTCTGTGGGACAACAGAGACGAGCCTCTATGCCAGGTCAGAACGTCAATCGCCCCGCCCCTAACACGCCCACCTCGCCGCGCCGCTCCTCCAATGTGGTCCCGCCCCACGCACGCTCCACCTCTCCACAGTCCCGTAGCAAGAGCCCCACCCTCGTCATATCCCGACAGATGCCCCTCAAAAGTGGAGGACGAGGGGGAGGGGTCACCGGGCAGGGGGCGGGCTCTTCGCTGTCGTCTGGGAACGCCCAGGGTGGACGTACCACGCCCTCTCAGTTATCGTCTCATGGCAATTCTTCTAACTCGCCCGGGAACTACAACCAAAGCTCTCTGTCTAGTCAGCAAGCCAGGTGCAAGTCCCCAAGCCCCTCCCGGATGAGAAGCCCCTCCCCACGGACCACACCTCAGAGCGCCACGTCACGCCCTTCAGTTCTGAGAACGTCGTCCAGCTCTTCGCTGCTGAAGGGAATAGGGCACGGTCATGAGGGCAAAACATCCGCTTTAAGAAGAGGAGACAAGGGAACTTTCAACAGGTAACGACTCTACTTATTTGCGAATTCTATTTCTTTTTGAAAATCCCGTCCCCATTGTAACTATTGTTATTATACTGTATAGTGTGGAGTCCGCTCAAACCGAAATCTGCGAGACCCCCAGGTTTTGTTCGGTTTTGTCCGGTTTTCGGTTCATAGAGGTTGTTCAGATAGAACAAAAAGAGAAAAAGAAAAAAAAGTGGGTGTTTTCGGTTTACTACTGTTTTCGGATTAACCGTATTCGGTTTAAGCGGACTCCACTGTAACTCATGTAAAGATCTATCTCTTTATACCTGTAGTTACTTTGCACAGGCATTGAATATTCTGGAAGTCCATTAAGTAAATCATATCCTATATCGTGTATATATTAATCCCCAAAAAATGCATGAACGATGCACTTTGCCTTCTGATTAAGAAAAATTGAAAAAAAAAACTTTGACTCAATTTTTTAAGCAAGAACAAAATGGTGATTATCGTCTTAAGTACAAAATCACAAACGTTTACATTCTATTTCACTTTATTTTCACATTATACTGTCGATTAACACTTGTGCGTTTCTTTCATTTCATACTATATGGACTACTGGTTTGGGGTGGGGTGGAGGTTCATCTTCTTACCTCTTACATTTTAATTCTCTTAGCCGTCTATATAAACTTTCTACAGTCCATGTGTTCTATAAGACTGAGAAAACTTTTATGTCATGTTTTCCTCTCTGTATAAATGATTGTAAAATATACTCTCATATTGAAATATATTCCTCAGTAATAATTTCACGTTGTTCTAAATGTCTTCTGACCTCTCCGGGTTGTTCTCTAATTTGTTTTGTGAAAGTATGTAGTCTCCCACTTGCAGAGTTGTTTATCTTCACATCGATTCATCACCTGATTTGAGTATTCAGTCGTATCTCTTGGGCTCAAAGTTGGTATGGGAATTTGATTTTATATAAACATAACATGGAATTGGGCATTTAAAAGCTTACCGATTAGCCTTTATGGGGTTTTTTTGTTGAAGGAAAGACTCGTTCACGTAAGAAAGGTGCTCTGTACCTGCTTTTGACGAAAGTGTTGTGTTCGTCTCTATTATTAGGTTCCATCATTCTGTTCTGTAAGCTTTTAGTAAAAGAATGAATGTTATGTTAAACTTTTTACCAAGGGCTGAGATATGAGTACTATAATTCTTTTCATCATTTTTTTCTTCGTATTTTTCTTATATTTCTGTGTCTTGAAATATCATCTCAGGACCAAATTGTCAGTGTAGTGAAATGGCCTTGTGTATTGTTCGGCAGTCGCAGAAAGAGAAAAGTGGTACGTAACCAGACCTTTCATTGCAACGTGAAAGTTGCCCTGAGCTTTCCCAAATCCCCAGCTATTCCAAACTATTCATAATACCACTGTCCACAGCGATATTGAAGATGAAATGGAAGGAGACGAAGAAGGCAACCACAGATTCTTAGCTATTGAGAACGGACACTGGTCTGAGCCGGTGGCTGACCAGCGCAGTCCACGCCACCAGCAGTACGATACACAGAGCGAGCTGGGCCAGGGGTATGAGCATTTTAACGATCGCTGCATCCCCGCCTGCTACACAACCTGTAGACGAGTTTCCCTCATTCTCTTTGCCTGTGTCGCTGTTACTCTTATTCGTTATTACTAGGCACAACTGACTTGAGCGCTTGTTTGTGTAGCATCGTGGTGTAGTTGCATGTAATCCTTCCCCACCTCCCTCGTCTTTTGAAGCCTACCATAGTGTGTACCCCCGCCGCTTCTCCTGTGACCCTTCCCACCAGTATGAGATACATTACGTTCAAGTTTCTTGCTGATGGTCTGTCTGCTTCGCTCATTCTCGCTTGAACAACGGCTAAAAAACAGGAGATCTTACCTCTTTTAATAAAAAGATACTAATATAAATTGTTTTGCTGAATGTTCTATTATGTGTGTTTTTTTGTGTGTGTGTGTGTGTGTGTGTGTGTGTGTGTGTGTGTGAGAGAGAGAGAGAGAGAGAGAGAGAGAGAGAGAGAGAGAGAGAGAGAGAGATTTCCTCCGTAGTTTTATTAAAAATTATTTTGTTGAAAATACTTGAGAACATGTTTTCTTCCTAAAACCAGTTACAGATTTTTCCAACATAACATAACAAAACGTCATTTCTGTTTTTAAAACGCTGTATCAGCCTGACTGAGACAAGACAAGGGCACACCCATTAAGTCTAAGTATGTGTCAGCATTGGCGCTTTGTCAAGGTAAATGAAGTTATCTGGCCCTTCCGAGTGCATATTATGGATTATGCTTGCAAAGTCAACTGTTGAGTTGTATACTTTATATGCTATCTTACCTATTCAAAGTAGGCCAGAACTTTGCGTCTTCTTTCAGATAGATTCAAAATCGTATTCTCTTCTTGGTTTACGAAACTCTAAGCCTGTAGCATAAGAGCGGAAGTTCAGAATACGCTATCAGGAAAATGGCGTCTTTTTGAAAATTCATGGGGGGGGGGGGGCTAATATACATACCTCCATAGGTATCTGCTCATACCGTATCTTTGCTAGAACGTCTAAGCTCTGCATTGTATTCTGATATTTACCAACACATGGAAACTTTGTGAATTTTGAAAGACTTACAGTAAATGAATTCTTGTATATCGCGTCCTTTTATTCCTTCTCAATTTCGGGTTCAAATATCCCTACGACCATAATGATAATTAGTATTATTTTGTTTCATCGTCTGGAGCAAGGGTTACGTTATTATATCACTACCATTATTGCTGTTACTGCTTTTATTACAGTATCTCTATTAGCATCATCATCATTATGTTATCATTATTTTTCTCATCATCACCATCATCATCATCAGCATCAGCATCATCATCATTATCATTATTATTATTAT